CTCGTTTCGTTTTTTTCCCGCGTGCTCTTTTTATTTATTTATTTTTTTTTTCCTCTACCAACGGGCACCCCCGCCCCGGACGCGCAGGAATTTCCCCTCATCCGCCCCGTAGTGTCCGAGCGGGTACGCTCGTGCGGACCTATGCGCGCGTGCGCGTACCACCTACCGCCGGGCACGTGATGCGAACTCCGGCGCGCGGAGGTCGTGAACGCGGCCACCATCGCCCCGTCGTCCGTCGTCCGTCCGCATTTGCATAGAATGCGTTTCGAGAACGTCGTGCGACGGACCCCGCGGCCCGTGCGCACACGTTACGACCGTCTTGGTGCTGCCCGGTCGGACACCGATTGTTGCGTTATTGTTTCGTTCGCCGGCGAATCTTCTGCGCGCGGCCACACTACGGGGGCACGCGGACGGGCGAATAAAAACCCGTGTGCTCTTACGCGGTTCTCTTCTCGGGAGTAAAACGTTTTTCGAGCGACCACGGTCGTTGCCGTCGCCGCACCATCGCGGCTGGTGAACTTCCGCCAAAAATCTCGTATCGACTGCTGCCCGCCACTGGTGTTCGGCGACGAACCGAAAGAAAAGCGATAAACGTCGTTTCGTCCGTCCACCGCGTACCGTTACACCATAGGAAAACCGTTATCGCAACGTACACACCCGGTACGATGTTGCAATCGCATTCGTACGGGAAAACAGAAAAACATTAATACGTCTAATGCGCACAACGCTTTCCCCCCCCCCACACACATCGTATTGAAGTCGGTTTTAGGCTGGAATTTAACACAAAAACGACACGCGTAAATGTAAACTATTATTATATTAAATGTCACCAAAAATTATTTATTAAAGAGAAATGTACATTTTACAAAGTAAATTGTATTATATATATATATATATATATAAATCTATATATAGACACAAAAGAAGTAAGAACAACATGGGTTTCATAAGTCATACATGGTATTAAATTATTCTATACAAATTATATACTACTTTCGATCGTAACTAAAAGCTAATAGTGTTTTTTCTTTCTCAAACCGTTATACTTTCAACAATATAAATATTTAATTAAAAAAAAAAAAAAAAAAAACAACTTAAATATTATAATATAAATATCTTACATGAAAATATTGCACGTATACAAACTGGCTTTTAGCTGTTCATTTTCGTTATTCTTTATTTATTTTTTATTTTACTTTTTACTTTTTACACGACGACGCTTATTATACACGACAAATAATATACATGATCACTATCGTATATTTTATCGTCTACCCTCTCCCCCCCCATAAAAATATACACATGGGTCGTGTACGATTTTCTATATATAAATCCGTATGCAAACATATAATATTTACTTAAACGCACAAAGAAATCGACTTAGTGGGTACGTAGACCGGCTACGATCACGTAATATACATTTTCGCGTAGGGACGGTTTTTATGATTTTTCTAAACAACAATATGGACAATCGTGAACACGTAAATATTCAATTCCTTTACGACCCACACTCCATGGGCGACGAAGTGCTCAAATAGCTCCTGGGGCTCATCTGCATGGCGTGGTGCTGTTGCTGCTGTTGTTGCTGCTGCTGCTGCTGGTGGAACATGACTGCCTCGATGCCGGTCGAGCCCGTCGAACTTTCCGAACAGCTCTTGTCCGGCTTTATGGACGGCGGTGCCAGCGGTCCCAAGCCCCCGTCCTGTTTGGTGGCTGTTCGCCTGTACTTGGCCCGAGCGTTTTGGAACCACACCTGAAACGAAAAATTGTTCGTAGATGAGCGTACAATACAATGTAAACGAACAACAAACAGTAATGAGAACGACAACGACAACACCGGCGGCGCCGGAATTTAGAAAGCTTTTCCTATTCGTACGCGATTTCCGGGCGGACAAATTAACTTCCCGAGCGAAAAGATACGATCTCAACTGGTTGAGACTAAATTGTACATTTCATTTTCATTTTTTTTTTCGACGTGATTTTTGATTTTTTTCTACTCGATTAACTAAGAAATTTTATGCATCTACGTAACGAAATACAACGACACGAGATTTGGATGCCACTGGAACAGTAGCCATCACACGGTGTTGCACAAACGATTTAATTCATTAAGACCAATTATTTTTACGCATTTTCTTATACCAACCATTTGAAACATTAAAATCTTAATCCTAATCCTAATAGTACGTACACATCTATAACATGTTTTCGAGTGCCGTTCCCGTACTTAATGGTATTGAAATAATGTGATCGAAAACTTAACCGCGCGATATGAGCTGCGTACATTGTAGACTGTATATATATATATACCACTGTGTTTACGTAAGTCACGCGATTGCGTTCGTACGACAACAAAACGGTTTTTTTTACGCTTGTAGGGAAATTAATTTTGTACACAAACCCTTAAACGTTGTAATAGTTATGACACGATAACAGAGCTCCGGATATGTTATAAGTATACCGTAACATAATGACGTATTTTTCATTTCTGTGACACAATATCGTAACGCGGTAAAGGTGCAGACGTGTTCTCAATCGAATGAATACTTATCTTAATCATAATTAGTCGGTGGAAACGAATCATTCCGAGGGACACGGCACCTATGCAAGCAGGACGGTCCTAAGGGGAATGCAAGTTACACGCCAATTATTTACATTAAAATTACAATTTTCGTTTTTCGCGCCACACACGTGCCAGCGACGATTTATGGTGACGGTACATGTAATTTCAGTGCCAAGTAATCGGTTCGATTGATGACGACGAACACGGAAAAAACGCATACCTTTACGGTCTTGTGACGGAGCACCGGGTGAAAAAAGTGACACTGCCGAGAGCCGAGGCGACGGTTCATTCTCTCCTCCTCTTGTTGTACGAAAATAAAACACTAACTTGAAATATTAACCAAAAGCCGAAGCACAGTCGGAGCTCGACGATTAATCATCGGCCGGTTTTCGGTCCCTAAAACGACAATTTGTTTTCGTAGTGCCGCCGAACAGCGTTTTTCCTTCCTATCGTCCGTTACGCTTTAAAATAAACGCGCGTACGCGTCCTTTGTCACGGCCGTCCTGACGGTGTTCGTAGATTAATCGATGTTCATCGCGGTCGGTTACGCGGCGGTCCCATCAATCTTGTCTCGGTCGGTTCGCGTGCACGCGTCTGGTACGAAGCCAACCGCACGTGGTGCCGAGGAGGTGCTCCAGTGCGCCCAGGAGCCGGGGCAGAGCCGAACCCGAGAAAAATTGAGTCGCGGCCACGGACCGCGCGAGCGAGGTGGGATGAAATAGGTCGCGACGGGCGCGAAACGCGTACGAACCCCGTAAGGAGCAGAGCGTGCGTAACAATCAATGATCTGGCGGGATGCACAGAACCGGATGCGTCTGTATTCGAGGGGTACTACCGCATATCGTACGACAAAAAAATTGTCAAATGATCCGGGGTTATTGTTCACTTAGGGTCAAACACTGAAACAAGCATTTATTCTGGAAAATATCCGACCGATTTTCTACACGTTTGAAAACGGTGGTCGAGCGCCCTCGGACACCGATTCCGGTTAGGAAAAATCGTATCGATTTTATTACTGTTCCGTCGGATTCCGGAAATCAATTTTCTCACCGCGGAACGCATTCGCACGGCGGCGAACAATTCGACCACAACGTTGTGTTTCGTGGACATCGGGAGAGCGCACACGTTGTTCGAGATCGATGACACACACTCCTGGCCGGTATTGGTAAACGCGGTCCCGCCGCGCATACGGCGCTCGAATTCCTGCGAAGAAAACGCAGGACAGTGGTGTAGGTGGAAGGAGAGAGCGCGCGAGCCGGCGAGGATACAGCAGCGGAGAAGGACGAGCGCGTGCGTGCGTGCATGCTTTCGCGTCTATTTCGGTCGCGCGCGGCGCGTGCGACAACCGTCACCTCTTGCCGACGTTGTTGTATACGGTTATTATTATTACTATAAAACATATTTTCACAAGAGCAGATAGGGCGTGATAAAAACCGTCACGGCCGTCGATCGCGTACGCGCTAATTAACGGAGCTTTAATGCGGCGGCTGCTCTCTCTCACGCGCATGGTCACGCGGAACACGGCTGCTCCGGCTGTTGCGGCGACGACCCTAATATATCGTATCATATTATTTTCTGCTCCGCGCACGTGAAATACAAGTAAAAATATATATGACGACGCCGCCGCGCGTTTTTCCTCGGCCGTTTTTAACGCGACACGCCTAATTGCCGCGGGGCCAAGTAACGGCGGATCTCTCGCAGCGGCGGTCCCTTTGCTTGTCCTGCCGGCCACGACCCGAGTGACAGAAATAGCGCCTCCCGGGGAACGCCGTCTGTCTCTAATACCGCGTACACGAATACGACTTACGTCGGGCTCGATCGCACACGTATCCCGCGCAGTCGATACTCATCCTATAATATTATTGCGCGCTGCCACGTCCGAAATTCGATATCGAGTTTGCGATTGCTGAGCGTATCACATATGGACGACGGACTGTTGGGACGGTTATCGCGAAAAGAATATACCAAGTCGTTCGGTGTCTAAAGTTTTGCGGAACCCCGTCCTGTTGTAACGCGACCCGCAGGATCTGAAGGAGGTCGGATAAATATTTACGAATCAAATGTCTTGCAACGGTACTATACGTGTGCCTATAAACAATGTTAGGTCCGTTCTTAACAACATTCGTCGGCGGTACAGGCGGGAAAACAAAACCGCGAGTTGTAGAACGGTCTGAGATCTCGAAACAACTGCTTTTCCGCGTAGGTATCTCTTCCGCGATCGTTCTAGACGAAATACAATTCGTTCGGCGAAATCTAGAGCGCCGACGCAACAACAACACGTGTTCGTTAGGCGCGCATGGTGTTGTGGGCTTCGAGAAAAACGCACTGCTGCCACGAGAACGCACGCGACAATTTGTTTTGTTCCGAAGAAATTTCCCACGACGAGCGAACAGATATACGCACACCGCCGCCGCAGCTACTGCAATACGCTAATTGTCCAGCCGCGTGTTTGTCGAGGGTGGAATATTATTATAGAAAAAAAAAAAAAAAAAATACCGACAAAACTAATTACTTACAATGGCGTAATTGTTTTTAATTGCACGCGGAGCATGTAAGCGACGCGACGACGGCTTTGCGCAACGTTTTATCGGTGCACATATCCCGCGCGGGATGTACTATTAATCGTAATGTTCTACATTAGTATTATTATTGCACACGAGGTACCTATATAAATCCGAACGACTATTTATCTAATTTGGCAATAAAAATAACCGGTTTAATCGATCGAACCAGGTGCCCGTCGGACACGTACAGTCGCCGTCGTATAATTATGATGTGTTTGTATGAATTATTATTACGATTGTTTTTTTTTTTTTTTAAAACTTTTTTACCGGTCGTCGCCAAAAATAGTGCAGCAGTTGCATCACGGCGCGGTTCGGGGATTAGCAATATTTTCCTACCGAAACTGCCGCGGTAGTAATCCATAATTCGTGGTAAACGCGTAGGAAAGTCAAAAGTCCGGATTGTATTGGTGAAAACCATAAGTCGTTTTATAAAACAATGACTGCCGCCGTTATGCCGTTTGTGCCGCGTTTCGTAAAACTCGGCAGATAATTGTGACAAATTACGAGGGCATGCGAAATCGGTTAGCCATCAAAAGCGCCGCCGACCGCAGCAAACATGCCGCCGTCAGCAGTCCGTCGTCTAGTCCGCGAACGGAAGGCAAAAAATAATAATAAAAATAAAAAAATAGTCACGACGTCGAGCGGCAAGCAGACGGTCTTGGAAGGGATGATGGAGATGACGATGCGAGTGCTAAAAAAAATTCCAATCCGAGTAAAAATATAGAATATAGAAATAATAATAAAAAAAAAAAGACCAAACGAAATACACATAGTACACGTAAAGGCGGATACGCGAGCAGAATGTTAAACGGCCATCAAACGGGTTTGCACTATTAATATGTCGTCGTCCTGCGCGCGCTCGTTTCCTCTCACCGTCTCTCGCGCGCTCACGGTTTTTACCGCTCTACGCGAATAGCGGCGGCGGTCTCGCAACACACGGGGCAGCAGCGCAGGATGGCCGCCGTCGCCGCTGAATTGTTCATTGTTTTCGACGCACAACAAACGTTGATAAATGGATATTTCGTATCTTCCTTTTTTTTCTTCTTCTCCGTTTGTATATATTGTATACGTTCTCTCGTGTATACCCCTCTCTCTCTCCTTTGCCCGTCGTCCGGCCATGGTCGCGTCCTACGCCCGTCGCCGTCGCCGGCCGAGGAGGACACGTGATATGGATTCGTACGGAGCGGTAGTGGAAGAAATGCGGCGAAGCACCTGCCATTTTCTTTATCCACACCGTCGTCGCCGTCGCCGTAACACGCGTGTGTTGTGTGTACCGGCGGCAAACCAGTTACCGGGTACACTATACGATACGCAATATATATGTATGTCGAGGGACGGTGCTGCGCGCATAGAAAGTTTTTTATTTTGTATTTATTTTTTTTCATTTTTTTTATTTTTTTTATTTCGTGCGCGGTACGGAAAAATACATACGTATATACGTACACATGCGACCGAGCGAATTCATCTGCGGCGCGTACACGACGGGAACGGATAAAAGCGAAGAGAGCGCTTTGCTGGCCGCGAGGAAAAAAAATATAATATACCGTTCTGAAGCGCGCGCAGCATACATGCATAAAATAATAACATGACTTGCCCGCGCGTACGCGTTTATTTATATCCGAACGGGCATTGCGAGGACGACATAACTGTTGTAACCGACGTGCATTGTACATCGACGTTTCCGCCGATCCGTCAATCCGATGACGGACGCGCGTCGGAATATTACTACGCCATTCGATTCGGTTTTATCGGCACGAAAGTTTTCTTCGATTTTCGTTCACACGTCTGCAGAAATACGGTCGGCTCACGGTGAGAACTGGGTTACGGAAAAATGAAACGACCCGGCTGTGTACGTACAGTTGCTGCGTGTACGACACGATTGACAAAGTCTAACACATTCCGAAAATCAAGAGTAACACATAACACCGCAGTGATACGATGGAGCCGTTTCGAATTGTTTTGTCGGGCGCGGCATCCGTGTACGTCGGCTATTCGATTAGAATCCGTTGACCTGAAAAATTAACGAACAGTACCCGGGTGATGGACTCCTTCCGCTCCTGCACGGCCCGATGCGCGCCTTTCGGGGCACGATCCGAACAATTATCGTTGCATTATTGTTTTTCAGTTATGTTATTTTTTCACATAACCAGTGTGCTTCGGCGAAATCTTTTTAGGACGAATGTTGTACCGCGCGCGCATCGCGATAACAGGGAAAACGTTTCGGCATTGTTTACCGTCGAGTTGATTGTGTCGAACGCGCAGATACGATTGGACTCCGCGGCACGTCGGCGGCGTTTGGCGCGCACAAAAACAACTCCGAAGCGAACCGGTGGCACACGATAACAGCGCACGTGCTTCGGACACCACGGTAACGATTTAAAAAATATACGTCGTAGACCCGCCCCCCGTTCGTCCCGGAAATATTTCGCGTTTTCGGTTCACGAACGGCCGAACAACTGATGCGGCGGCGAGGCCAAGAAAGTTTTTTTTTTTTTTTTTTTTACGGTCTTTGAAACGCCAACGCACCGCTTTTTCAACCCGGCCGGTAAATCTGTCGACGGCGCGTAAAATTCACACGGGCGGTACGCGCCAATTAACGTATTATTATTCGCCCGCCCGACCCGCAGCACCCGACTGTTCGTCGAAAGTTCGCGCGAACCCCTCCGTTACGCCACCCCCACCCCCAGTGCGGGTGGAATTCGTATTTTTACACACCGCCCGTTTCCCGGCTGAAATACGTTCGCGGGCGAGTCCTGCGTATAATTTACGAGGATCGAAACGCTTGGCCGCGATTTATAGCGTTTCGTTGGAACCGACCATCGCCGTGCCATGTATACACGACGGTTCGATATTATAATATAATTAAAAACGATTTCGCTACACCGCACGCACGCCACACGTAGGCACTCCGTTTCTTCTATAAATAATTCGAAACGCATATTTATGAACGGCAGAAAACGTCGTTCGCACGGAATTCATAATCCATTACTTCGCATTGCACGTAAGTGAGTTCAGTGCGGAATCAGTGGGTGGGCACACACCGTTGCGCGTACCGAGTTTTTTTTTTTTGTATTAAAAATTGGATAAACATCAGATATCACGTTAAACTGTACGAATTTATGTGTCAAATGTGGCGATTAAAGGAAAAATCATTTTTAACTTTGATGTTAAATGTCATCGTAGGTAGGCATTTCGTAGGGACCAGTGGTCGAAAAAGCTCGCGATAGCGTATTTCCGTAGAGAGTAACCGAAATACATGTACGTTTCGTAACGAATTTTTCTGACCGTTTGAGTTCCAAATCAGCGATTTGTTTTTACAAGAAAGTTATGCGCGTGATACACCTAAAGAGCGTTATTAGAAAAATAGCGTTCACATTACAAAAAAAAAAAATCCTAGACCGTGAGCGTTATTTCGACGAAGAGGTATTCGAGGTAAACTAGGGTCGTTGAACGTCTATCAACATGTTACTGGTAGATAAAAAAAAAACACTATGAATACATTATGATATCTGTGACCGATAGTTCATAGTGCGTGTAATGTAGTGGATTATAATATACTATAAAGAGTCGTATAAAATGAAGATCTGACGGAAACAAGTGAAATAAACATAAGATGTTTATGACGTGTTAACGCGGCGGCGGTCGTATAATATAATCGGTATACGTGGTACATACGGTAATCGCGATGAGATTTTTACTATTGATTTTGTACCCTTTCCGCGCGCGTGTTTTCCTTTTCTCTTGCTGGAATGTGTTCAAACGGGACAGGTAGTAAATCAAACATTTATTGCTGCATAAACGACCGAGAGCCCTAAAAATAAACTCCCGGTATAAGCAAACGTTTTCGAGGACGCTGTTAACATGTCATAATAGCTACTATTAAATATCCCCGAGATATATATATATATATATAAATTATAATGACATTAGAGTATTATATTTTAGATTCCGGTTGTTGGAAAGCGATCTTAGCCCGCAACTTATAACACAGTGTTATTACAGTATTATGTGCGTGAAAAGCGATTCTTCGGGAAAAATAAAATAAAAACTGTTTATCGTGCGCCGCAAATAATAGCATATAAGTACGTACTTATATTTATGTACACACGTGTGTACCGCGTATTGTATGGCCACAATTGCAAATGGATTTGAACACGCGAATCCCATAAATCGTCAATACTGCTGCGGTGCGGACTTGTACGTACACATAGAAATATACATACTTATATGCATGCGGTTGAATGGTACACCATATAAAATATAGTACATATTATTATACGGTGGTCGCCGAAAGCGAAAACTACGTCCGAGCATAAATAACTCGTGGTAAAATAGGGAGATGTAAAAAGAGGGGAGGGGCGCCCTCGGAGCATTACTATTTTGTGTGTGTGTGTGCGTTTTTTTTTTTATTACGACTTTGTATTTTATTCGTTAGCGGTGGCGGCGGTGATGTTGTATGTGTACACACTGCCCAAGGACGATTTATATGCATTTAGAAGAAATATACACACGAATAAATTATAAATCACTTGCGTCTTGACGCGTTTTTTTTTTTATGTGTATATACACGTTTTTCTCTTTCCAAATCATTTTTTCCGCTTTTTATTATTATTGCCGTGCTGCAGTTCGCCTGCCCCCCTCCCTAAAGATGATCACATCACGTGTGTCAGCGGTGGTATATTACGTGTATTTTCGTCTCGGAACGGAAACGATCGAATCCTGTGTACGCGGACGGGTTATTACGGAATATTGTACATCACAGTACACGGACGCGGTGCGCCGGCGAACATTGCGCGTTCACGTGCGAATAGGAGACTGCGGGAACGTACCGCGTGTGCCGCGCCTGGCGATAAATCGATAAAAAACGATAAGTAATACGTGCGTTACGATTATACGCGCATCGGTCGTGTGCGCGGAAAAACCTTATTTACATGGGCCGGCAACGCTCTGGAACCGCTTGGCTTTTTTTTTTTTAACCGTCGTCCGTTCGCGTAAACGCAAACGGAGTCGACGGGTCTGGCTTAGTAAATAATACGGTCGAGCAAGTCGGACAAAACGAAAAAATTAATCAATACGAACGGTACGCTCTGTTGATCAGTAACTTTTGTGGACCCTAAAGAGTACACAACTCCGATCATATATTCACCGGCACCGGGAAAGGAGAGGAGAATAAAAAAAAAAAATCGTTACCCCGTTCAAGTTTTCAACCCTTTCTACCCGGCCGCGGTCGCGTCAAACAATACGTAGTACCACATCGTCCGTACCTGTAACACTCGTTTGGGCAGTCCTGTCTTTTGCGAGAGCTGTTTGAGATCTTTTGCGTCGGGGTTGTGGTTGTGATGGAAGTACGACTTCATGGTGCGCAGCTGATGGTGTTTGAAAGACGTGCGCATGCGTTTCGTACGTTGGTGACCGGATCCGGGACCGCCGTTGCCGCCCGCGCCGGACAAACCGCCCGGGCCGAACGCCATTTCCATGTTGTACGAATCGCTCGAGTTCATGTCTGAAACAATAGCAAAAAAGTTAGGAAAAAAAAAAAAAACAAAACAATTTCTAACTTTTCACGCGTGTTAATCGTAATACATCATTTACACGGTTTGGATACTTTTCATAACAATAACATTAAACGTAGGTACCTTAGAAAAACAATACCCACCCGAGTGATTAAAACTTATTGGAATTGAAGACGAAAATATTTACGACGGCGTGATTTATTTATATTATTTATAAACAAGAATTGTATACGTGTATATTATAATAAACACTTTTTCGGTTATCAGTAGATCGTATATCGAACCTAACGTCCTTCACGTCCCGATGAGTTTTATTGCTTCTGTGGTTTGGTTGTACTCGATGTTTTGTGTGTGTGTGTGTGTTGTAGTGTTCTGTCGAAGTTTTAAATATTCTCATTCTATGCCAGAGCACATATATATATATATATACTTCTTTTCCATCGACGTTTTCAAACACATTTCGTTTGCGTTAATAAATTCAATATTTTCGTGAATATTCAAATTTCAAACAATAAACACGTCAAAAGATTCAAATTCAAGATAATATTAACGAAATAAATTTTTTTTTATTTTTTTTTTTTAATAAATATATTTATACAAACGCTGAATACTACAACACTGCAATAACATATCTGGACTTGTGGACCTATCCATGCTTATAAAATATTATGATCGATGCACTCTATTGAATATATGTTATTTTCGTTTCGACCATTAATCATATTATTATAATCATTATTTCTCAACTATTAAGTATTCACAACACGAAGTACAATCACTCGCAATAAAAACACGATATTTATGTAACAGTGCGCACTCAGATTTTAATAAAATAGTATTTTTAACGTTTATAAAAATGAAAGCTCGACAAATATGATGGTTAGGAACGGGAATACTATGTTATCAATTGAAAATACGACGTCGTATCGTTGACGGTAAGATTCGTGAAGAAAAGGATGGTGGCGATTGAAGATGTGTAACTGACAAGTTAAGCATGTGTATAAAGTGTATGCGAGTGTGTACGCGCGTCAAAGTAGTATAATTTCACCCTTTCACGGCGCAAGCTGTCCGTCACCTCCCTATAACCGAGACCAATATCAATTTTACGACACGAAATTAGCTGCTGCTGCGCCTTTGCCAAATACATATGTAATGGACTCATCGTCAGGACAGATTTTTATGGAAAAAAAAAAACTCAGTACCGTCGCAAGCTTTTGCGAAGCCCTAGGCAGCAAATGCAGTACAATTTTCTTAAACCTAAATATACTTAACTATTCCAATTTGACAAACTGCGGGCATCGAATTTATTTAAAATGCGAGGCCCTAGGAAATCGTCTAAGTTGCTTGCTCGCTAACGCTAACGAAGGCACTGATAAAAACAAAAACGAAAACTGTTTCATACATCGGTGCGCACGTAAATCGACTACGCAGTATTTGTAGTGAAATATAGCGAATACGCTCGCGTAGACAAATTTAAAAAAAAAAATTACAACGCGGCCGAAACGCAAAAAGTCTATGCAAGCGTATAAACTATGCGTTTATTATATGCAAGTGTGCGTGCGTGTACGAGTCTATTTTCATTGTGTTCTCAGAACCCTGTAGGTTAGGTACTAACCGCATATGTTTTCCTTTATTTTTTTTTACTACACGTTGTTATAATTCATTTGTTATTAACGGTTGCCACACTACACGTAAACGTGCATAAGTGTATTATAGATTATGTACGTTCTACGCGATATACATATGCACGGTTGTGTTGTGCATATCATCGCGACCGGAAAGGTTATCGAAAGTTTGCTGTAGAAGCGTTGTCCGCAGTAGTCGGTTACGTGTTCCGACAATGTTTTGATATTGTTATTCGTTATGCAATACGATAATGCTGAAATAATAATAGAAAAAAAATCTAAAAAATAATTGCTCTCGAAGCGTGTATCGAAAACAACGATTAGATAAACGTTTGGAAATTGACTTCTGTATCGACCGGAAAACATAACTCTGCGTAGTGCACAACGATACGCTCTCATATCATCGCTATACATTCGGTACGTGTGAAACGCGAGAGGACAGGGGTTAGGTCAAGGGAGTCATCGCATCCCCCACCGGGCGATAAAAAAAGAAAAAATAGAAAAAAAGCCGCGGCCCGCTGATGGTGCCCGGAGTTCATCGGCGCTCGGATAACCCCGGGCACCGTTGATACGAGCAACGAATACTGTACGCGTACGCGTTTCCCGATGTTTAAGCGCATAAAACCGGTGATTGTAGCACCGATAACGTTATCGTCGTGCAACGTTAATCTTTTGCCGTGGAACCACGTCTTTGGTAAACGCTATAAGGATAAAAAAAAATCAAACGGCCCGCGCGGTGTATTACTATTCTATCGCGGGGTAATATAACAAAGGCGAACTTATGATCGTCGTATCGATCGCATTTTAACCGTACGAATCTAAGTAGGCGCAAAACATTCCATCGTCCGTTAGTTCGACTCCGAAATGACCGAATCGCCGATACCGCCTGAAGGAAAACGTCGACAACCGGTGCGAACGACGATGCGATCGAACAACACGTTACGACGACTTTACTTAATTAGATAAAGTTAAAGCGAAGTTTATTGCGTTGACCGTCATCTCCGGTGGAACTCAACACGACTCATCTACAACCGATGAGACGTGCGTAAAATGGGAATAATAGCGGAGCAATCACCGTGAAGTTTTGAATGACGCACGACACGGAGCCGCTCTCCCGTTTGATCGTACGATTGTAACCTATCCGATAAACCGCGTATAAGTTAATATAATAAACATGTTTTCGCCGGAACGTTTTTAAAAGACCACAAAAATCGGTTTACTCGAAATGTATCAACGCGTTAAGGGGATCGAAAAAAGAATGAAAAAAAAAAAAAAAAAAAACAATTAAATTATCCGTGTCACATTTCATGGTGAACGAAGTTATTGTAGTAACTATGAAATACTGCTACGACTACCTACTGTTTATGGTACGATAATAACACACGCACTTGCCGCGTTCTACAACGCTACGATTATTATAATAATCATGTGTATACAAACATGCGTGCACGAGGTTTCGCAACAGCGATCCTCGGTGCAATTAAACGCGCGTTATCAAAGCACAATTGTTGCGGCGATCTCTACGGGTTTCGAGTGTGACCGGCCGACGCGCACGCGGAGCGCCCGGGATAATCGTACACGCGTTATGCCGTAGTAGACGTCGACGACAAATATGTGTGCGCGAGAAAATCGCAGCGGCCGCGTAAACACCTCTGCAACGATCAAAATACCACGTCGTCGGCCGTCTCGCGATGAAGGACGTGTGGTGGGGGTACTGTCGATTATTGAAAACAATATTCGTCGGCGAAAAGATCCGCGCAGGGACGGATCCAGAGGGAGTTCCGAGGGGCCTTGCCCTGCCTACCCCCCAAGGCATTCTGAAAACGATGACGAATTTAGTACTTACGCGCTAAGAACGCCGAGATCAACATCAATAGATGCCCTACACGACGACCATACAATTCACACAATATTTGGTTAACTTCTCGTCATATTTTGTACGTTACCAGTGAGCGTAACAACGGATGAGAGAAGAGACCGTCCTACCTCATTATGTTTACTAAATGTTTATCGAGATAAGGAATTAAAATGTTAAAAAATTTACCGCTTTAGTAAAAAAAAATTACTAATAGACGTATTGATTTTGTGGATTAATACGATAAGTATATAAAGGACATATTATAATATGATTTCTGTTGTATACCAATATATATATTATTATTATTATATAAGTATAATTTATACTCGTATGTACATGTTTTGTTGTAGCTTAAACAGTTGACCTCCCCCAGACCTTGGCTCTGGACCGTAACTGAGTACGCGATTATTCTATATCGACATCGCTTTACCGCCATATAGATATATTGTATTTCGTTTTTTACGCCGTCGTACCCGGATTATACGTAAACTCGTCACCGTCGACACGCATCACGAAGTCCACGCAGATCCATGTTTGTAACTTGTTATGTATTCTCATCTTAACTCACGGGCGCTGCGCGGGTAATAAGATAACATCAAGCAGAAGAGATATAGGTGTTTTCATATTTACTGATTATAAAAATATACGCCACCGAAGATGGTCTCGGAATCTTTCGCCACGGAACTTGAACGCGTCACGGAGAATCGTCAGAAATCTACATACGTGTAGGGTCGGTTAAACACTTGTTGCATTCGATTGACACTAAAGCTGAGATTTTCGCAGAGCCGTGCGCATGGACCCGCAGACATTAAGTTTTGATAACATTAAAAAAAAATCGATTATTTAGGCTTTATTAAGTCGCGGATTGTTACGCATTTGCATTTGGTTGTACAGTTGGAATTTGAAATTCGAAAAACCAAGTAGAATCAACACGAGAATGAATTTGTTTTGGTTTATCAAAATCACTTTGAACGAATAAAAAAAAAAAAAATTATGTAAGATTACTTTTACACATACACGTGTAACGAAATATACAAAGGATATTTGTTGATTACATTTATCAGAATCGATTTTTTTTTTTTTTTTGAAACATTAATCTGCGAAAACATGCGATGTATATTTTTGCTTCGCCGTCGCCTTACAATAAATATTACGAACGCAATGTAATTAAACACAAAAGATCATACCATGCGTGTCGTAATTGATTTTTCCACGTACGTATACAGACGTAACGCTACGAGAAAATAAAAAAACCCCGACCACAAGCTTATGTAAACCATGAATAAAAACACGTTTCCAGCGATTTTTTCGCATCTACGTTGACACCGCGTGTGTACAATACACAAAACGGTAATTTTCCTACGTACCTATTTATGTGCACGTACCGTACAGATAGTAGTAGTACGTAAACAGGGGGGGGAGGAGGTGGTAAACAAATAAGCTAACCCAAGTGCTCTGCACCGGAAACGAGACGGATTGTGAGATGTATCACGTATACATATCAACA